GCTGCATGTCAAAGATCTATTAAAAATGTGACATATAGGAAGGGATACAAACTTGGCTGCAACCAGGGACGGACTGGGACTAAAAAACAGCCCTGGACTTTGGACCCAGCCCAAAGTAATCGGCGGGCCAATAGACAATAGGACCAAATCTGGCAGAACAAATTCCCAAGTCACTGCCATCAGTAGACTGTAGTGAATGCCTGTTTGATAGGAACCCTAACTCAATGTTCCTCACAGCAGTGGAGGAAAAAGAAATAACTGATATTGTAAACCCTTTGTAAATATAAAATATCTACTGATTGTAATGATATTGACTTGAAAAGGTCATAGAAGGAATTGTAGGACCTCTAACATACATCTGCAACTTATCATTTCAGACTGGAAAAGTTCCAAACAAAATGAAAATAGCGAAAGTTGTGGCGCTGTATAAAACTGGGGATAGACACCACTTCACAAATTACAGGCCGGTTTCTTTCACAATTCTCCAAAATCCTAGAAAATAATAAACAACTGTTTAATAAACAACTAGACAAACTCTTAGATAAATATAAATTACTCTCTGACAGTTAATATGGATTCAGATCAAAAAGGTAAACTTCACTGGCATTAATCGAATCAATTGAGGAGATTGCAAATGCTATAGATCAGAAACAGTGTGCAGCTAGACTGTTTCTGGATCTCAAGAAAGCATTCGACACAATCAAGCATGAGATATTAATTAATAAACTGGAATGATACAGGATCATGGGGGGTTGTACTGCACTGGGTGAAAAATTGTTTAAGTGACCAGAAACAATTTGTGAAGCTGGGTGTCTTACATCATCATGCTTGGACATTGCCTGTGGCGTTCCACAAGGCTCTGTGCTCGGTCCAAAGTTATTTATTATTTAAATAAATGTTTCCTGATGATTTCCATATATATATTCAAGCTAACATTTCACTTTTTAAAATATACTCTTGAGAACTTAAGTAGTAGAAATGTGTCACTGCTATCACAGTGATATCATATTTATTCAGTTTATGGTATTGCCTTTCTGGCGGACATTTCTACCAGTAAGAGGAATACACTGTCCAATGAAAACGTCATTCAAAATCATTCTGATTCTTACAAATTATATCGGCAACCTCATTTTTTACAAGCAACTTATTTTATTTACATCCTAGCTTACTATGGAATTACTACAGTGAGCTACTTTATACTGCTAAAAAAAGATAAAGGAGCAGTTTGAAAACACATCAGATTTCAATAAGAAAGAAATTAATGTCCATATTTATACTCACTGGGTAATGTGTTAGCAACAAAAGGACAAGACATTGTTTGATGGAAATTAAAATGATCCACGTAGATGACCTGCGGCGTCCTTTAATGGTTATGCCTCCCAAGGTCATCACTGACCCACCAACAAACCAGTCATGCAGAACATTTAACAGTATTTCCTGAAAAACCTGTTTTCCTAATAACACTTAAATTTAAAATAATAGATTACACAGCAGTCGGGGACAGATTTCTCTCTGAAAGCACTTTAAATAAGTCTAAGGATATAATTAATTCACTGTTATCTTCAGTACCAGCACAGGGCAGAGCAAATACCTGAATGCTACTCCCA